CCATCCTACCCCACATTTCAAAAATCTCCTAAATTTCTAAAGAATGTAACTTCTTTCATCTCTCTTCCTCCTCCTCTGCAGCAATATTCTGATCTGCAGTCTGTTGCTGTTCCAGTTGAAGCTCTTGCAGCTCCTCTGTGGTTAGCTCTTCATTGTGGTCTTCCACCAACTCTTCCACATCCTCCAAACTCGCATCCAACCCCATGAAACTCTCCAATGCCACAATAGATTCCACAACTGCCATAGGTTTGTTAGGGAGAGCCCCAAACTCTTCAAAATCCCTCTTGTGGACACAATCTGGCCACAATTTTCTCCAAACAGATTTCAAAGTCCTCGTAGTCACTCGCTCCCAAGCCTTACCTATAAGGCTTATGCAATGGAGGATACTGAAGTGATCTTTCCAAAACTCTCTTAGGGTCAAGTGAGTGTCTAATGTCATATTAAAGCAACTTTGAAACATTGCTTTGGTGTAGTTTTCTTTAAAGTTTGAAATTATCTGCTGGTCCATGGGTTGGAGGAGAGGAGTGGTATTAGGGGGCAAGAACTTTACTGTGATGAACCCATACCCTCCAGAATTAGGTCATCCAAGTTTGGAGGATGGGCAGGTGCATTGTCCATTAGCAGGAGGCACTTGAGATCCAATTTATTTTCCAGGAGGTAATTCTTCACACTGAGGCCAAACACTTCACTGAACCACTTGACAAAAATTTCCCTCGTGACCCATGCCTTATTCTTAGCTTTCTAAAACACACACAGTTTACTCTCATAACATTGTTGATCTTGAACACTCTGGGATTTTCAGAATGGTACACTAGTAACGACTTAATTTGAAATCCCCACTAGCATTACTACAAAACATAAGCGTCGACCTGTCTTTCATAGGCCTGTGTCCTGGCAGTCCCTTTTCCTTCTGAGTAATGTAGGTCCTCATTGGCATTTTCCTCCAAACGAGGCCTGTTTCGTCACAAGTGAACACTTGTTGGGGTTTTAGTTGTTCAGTCTGTATGTACTCCTTGAATTCACTTACGAATTTTGTAGCTGCATTTTTGTTAGAACTGGCAGCCTTGCCATGCCTTATCACACTGTGTATGCCACTACGGTCCTTAAATCTCTCAAACCAGCCTTTGCTGGCCTTAAATTCACAAATATCAGTACTCGTTGCAGGCAATTTCTTTAAGAGAGCATCATGCAACTGCCTAGCCTTTTCACATATTAGCGACCGCATAAGATAACCTCCTGCTAATTGTTTCTCGTTTATCCACACCAATAATAACTTTTCTACATCTTCGAGTACAGGCAATCGCATTTTTGTCAGCATATTTACCCCCTTTGCAACAACAGCTTCCTTGATTTCCTTTTTCTTGGCCACAATGGAAGCTATGGTTGTATGGGGTTTCTTAAACATTCTGGATAGTTGAGACACACGTAAGCCACTTTCATATTGTTCAATGATGTTTTTCTTGAATTCAATCTTATTTCTCCTTTAGGAGCTTTCTTTGGAACCATGGTAGCTTATTTAGCAGTTGCAAGCACTAAAATAAATGGAATATGAAATATTTAGTATGAATAAGTGAGGGGACCGTCACTCACTGGTAAATAATGCGACACTGGCTGGGAAGGGAGTGCGAGGCGACTCAAAGCTGTGAGTACGCATTCGGGACGAACGATGATTCGCAAGTCAATGTTTTGACGAAAATAACGTTACGATTTTCGAAAATTATGACTTTCGAGCCTTATGATTATCGAGGGTCTACTGTATTGAAAGAATTAAGAGTAAGATGGAGAGTAGGTTAGCAGATGAACAAGGAGGCTTTAGGAAAGGTAGGGGGTGTGTAGACCAAGTGTTTACAGTGAAACATATAGGTGAACAACATTTAGATAAGGGTAAAGAGGTTTTTGTGGCATTTATGGATTTGGATGTTGCAGGTGCATGGTATAGGAGGTAGGTTACTGAAAGCAGTAAATAGTTTTTACGAGGATAGTGAGGCTCAGGTTAGAGTATGTAGGAGAGAGGGAGATAACTTCCCAGTAAAAGTAGGCCTTAGACAAGGATGTGTGATGTCACCATGGTTGTTCAATATATTTATATATGGGGTTGTAAGAGAAGTGAATTTGAGTCTTGGCAAGAGGTGTGGAGTCGAAACAAACACAAAGTGGGAGTTGTGACAGGTGCTCTTTGCTGATGACATTGTGCTTTAGAGAGATTGTGAAGAGAAGTTGCAGAGGTTGGTGGATGTATTTGGTAGGGTATATAAAAGAAAATTAAACGTGAATGTAGGAAAGAGTAGGTTTATGAGGATAACAAAAAGATTAGGTGACAAAAGATTGGAAAATCAGATTGGAGAGGGAGAGAGTATGGAGGTGGTGAATGTATTCAGATGTTACGAGAGGACGTGTCAGCACATAGGTCTATGAAGGATGAGGTGATCATAGAATTGATGAGGGAAAACGGTTAGTGGTGCACTTAGGAGTCTGCGGAGACAAAGAACTTTGTCCATGGAAGCAAAGAGGGGAATGTATGAGAGTATAGTTGTACAACACTCTTGTATGGGTGTGAAGCATGGCTGATGAATGTTGCAACGAGGAGAAGGCTGGAGGCAGTGGAGATGTTATGTCTGAGGGCAATGTGTGGTGTGAATACAATGCCAAAAATTCGTAGTTTGGAAATTAGGAGAGGGTTTGGGATTACCAGAGAGCTGTAGAGGGGTTTGTAGAGGTGGTTCGGAATGTAGAGAAAATGGAACAAAACAGAATGACTTCAAGAGTGAATAGATCTGTAGTGGAGAGAAGGCTGGGTAGGGGTTGACTTGGAAGGGTTTGGAGGGAGGGGGTAAAGGAGGTTTAGCGTGCGAGGGGCTTGGACTTCCAGCAAGCATGTGTGAGCGTATTTGATAGTAAATGGAGACAAATGGTTTTCAACCATTTGACTGTTTCGGTCGTATATATACGTTCTTACGAGCCACCATTTTTGACGTATAAATACTCAAATTCTAGTGGCTTCAAATCAAGCAGGAGAAAGCTGGTATGCCACATATGAGAGAATGGGTCTGTGTGGTCAGTGTGCACCATATAAAAAAAATCCTGCAGCACGCAGTGCATGGTGAGAAAAAAAAATCCAACCATTATTTTGAATTAAAATGCCGACTTTGTGGTCTATTTCGTACAGTATTTATGGTTGTATTCTCATTTTCTTGGTCTCATTTGATAGAATGGAAAACATAAAAATAGAGGTGATTTGATTGGTTTTACTATGAAAACTTGAAATGGAGTTAAAATAGGGGAAATGTTGATTTTTGCGATGTTCAAAAGTAAACAAATGTCATTTTCCAATAAATGTCCAAGTAGCCATTCTAATATGCAGTCATGAATGGGTTGACATTATTTATACAATTATTACAATATTGCAGTAGTCTGCATAACAGAATCTTCTATTTTTTATTTGAATAAAGATTCAAAACAGAAAGCAAGAGTAATATCAGAGGGGCCTGGAGATGTGACTGATGAACAAAGAAAATGTTATTTTAGAGCCAGGAATGTCTGCATTGTTCATTCTGGACCCTATTTTGAAATTGTCATTTTTTTAATTTAGGTGAAATTGGCCAAATTGCAAATTTCTCACCACGTTATTGGTAGTTGAAATCGGTAAATGGGCAGTTTCTTGTATCATTCGATAGAAAAATGGAGTTCTAAAGAAATAGCTATGAGTTTGGTCGAATGGAACAATGGAATTAGCAAAAATAGGGCTCAAAGTGGGCGAAATTGCCGATTCGTAAATATCGCCGAAGTTGCTAACTTCGCGAGAGCGTAATTCCATCAGTTTTCCATCAAATTTCATTCTTTTGGTGTCATTACAATCAGGAAAAGATTCTCTATCATTTCATAAGAAAGAATAATCTTTTTTCTCGGAAATTTTGCGACACCAGGAGACACTCAGGATTTGGGGTTGCGACAGTCAAGGGGTTAATACTTGACGTGCTGTTGGAATATTAGCAAAATAACTTTTATGAAGGAATTCAGGGAAACCAGCAGGCCAGACTCGAGCCCTGGAGATGGGAAATACTGTGTCTACACTCTGAAGTAGGGGTGTTAATATTCAAGTTTTATAACTGTAGTGTAAAGCCCCCCTCTGGCAAGACTGTGATGGAGTGAATGATGATGAATTTTTTCTTTTTCAGGCCACCCTGCCTTGGAGGGAATCGGCCGATGTGGTAATAAAAAATAATAAAATACATTTTATTTATTAACACATCGGCCATTTCCCACCAAAGCAGGGCAGCCAGAAAAAGAAAAAACCTTCACCACCATTCACTCCATCATTGTCTTGCCAGAGGCATGCTTACACTACAGTTATAAAACTGAAACATTAACACCCCTCCTTCAGAGCTCAGTCACTGTATTTCCCAATCTCCAGGACTCGAGTCCAGCCTGCCAGTTTCCCTGAATCCCTTCATAAATGTTACCTTGCTTATACTCAACAGCAAGTCAAGCCCCTAAAAACCATTGGTCTCCTTCGCTCCTGTCTAACACACTCGCACACGCTTGCTGGAAGCCCAAGACCCTCACCACAAAACCTCCTTTCCCCCCTCCCTCCAACCTTTCCTAGGCCAACCCCTACACCGTCTTCCCTCCACTACAGATTCATATACTCTCGAAGTCATTCTATTTCGTTCCATCCTCTCTACATGTCCGAACCATCTCAACAACCCCTCCTCAGCCCTCTGGGTAATAGTTTTGGTAATCCCACACCACATCCTAATCTCCAAACTACGGACTCTCTGCATTATATTCACACCACACATTGCCCTCAGACATGACATCTCCACTGCTTCCAGCCTTCTTGTTGCAACATTCACCACCCATGCCTCTCACCCACACAAGAGCGTTGGTATAACTATACTCTCCTACATTCCCCTCTTTGCTTTCATGGATCAAGTTCTTTGTCTTCACAGACTTCTCAGTGCACCACTCAATTTTTTCCTCTTGTCAATTCTATGATTCACCTCATCTTTCATAGACCCATCTGCCAACACATCCACATTCACATTAACCTCCCCCATACCCTCCCCCTCCAATCTGATATCCAGTCTTCCGTTACCTAATATTTTTTATTGTCATCACCTTACTCTTTCCTATATTCACTTGTAACTTAATTCTTTTACATACCCTACCAAATTCATCAACCAACCTCTGCAATTTCTCTTCAGAATCTCCCCAAAAACAGTGTCATCAGCAGAGCGCAACTGTGACAACTCCCACTTTATGTTAGATTCTTGATCTTTTAACCCCACACCTCTTGCCAACACCCAAGCATTCATTTCTCTTACTAATCCATGTATAAATATACTGAACAACCATGATGACATCACACATCCCTGTCTAAGGCCTACTTTTATGGGAAATAATCCCCTCTCACCTACATACTCTAACTTGAGCCTCACTATCCTCGTAAAAGTTTTCACTGCCTTCATTAACCTACAACCTCCTGTTCCATACATTTGAACATCTGCCACATTGCCCCCTTATCCAACCTATTATATGCCTTTTCCATGCTTTAATTCCATGGAAATCATTCTCTTTTTCTTCTCAGCACTGTCCTTTACACCTACTTTCTTGGGACCCATGCTTAGAAAAACAAAATTTGGCCAAATGACTTAACCCTTTGAGGGTTTTGGTCGTACTAGTACGTCTTATGCGTAGGGGTTTTTAACGTACTAGTACGCATAAATCATAAATTCTAGCGGCCTCAAATCTCGCAGGAAAAGGCTGATAAGCCTAGATGTGAGAGAATGGGTCTGTGTGGTGGGTGTGCGCAGTAGGAAAAAAATCTGGGACCCAGTGGTGCATTGTGGGAATGCCATCATAGTACACAATTTCCACCGTGCCCTGCGGTAAGAAGTTCCTCACTCCTCGGCGAATTGGGACACTTTTGTTCCCCAGTGACAGTTCTAATACAGATGGAAGTGACAGTGAAGATGAGTTTCAAGGTTCTGGTGAGGTTTTGACCGAAACTAATGACCATAATATGGGTAATAGTGAGGAAAACCCAGACAACCCACAGCCTTCTACCTCTGGTGCTGGGCTGTCTTGTTCACGTTCAGTTGTACCAGAATCAAAGAGGAAACTCCTATTTTCCAAAATCCCAGACTCAGATGTGAGCATTGGTGATGATAGTGATAGTGATTATGAACTACAAGCTCTTCAAAAATTGTTCCAAGAATGGAGGGGGAGGAGGAGGCAGAGGAGGAGGAGGCAAGAGGAGGAGGAGGAAGAGGAGGAAGAGGAGGAGGAGGAGGAAGAGGAAGAGGAAGAGGAAGAGGAAGAGGAAGAGGAAGAGGAGGAGGAGGAGGAGGAGGAGGAGGAGGAGGAGGAAGAATACGTAATGATAACAATAATACATAATAATAATAATAATACATAATAATAATAATACATAATAATAATAATACATAATAATAATAATACATAATAATAATAATAGGTAATAATAATAATAATAATATGTAATAATAAATGTTCACCCATGACAGTGACAAGGTAAGGGGAGATAACATCTGATAAGTGCTGACATTTGATGAGGGTAAATGAGGGTAGAGCTGATGCCAAAAAATGAGATGAACATCGCCCTCCCTTTGTTTTTGCTGGTATACTAATATTTCTGTCTGTCTATTTGCCTGTCTGTCAAGCTCCCTGTCTATCCGTCTAGCTCTCTGTCTCAGAGAGCCACAAGACTGCATCACTTTTACTCACATCTTCAAGCAGAGTATAGCACTTTGTCTGGGTTTCTTGGGTTATCCTAGGTAATTTATACTATGTATACTTGTATTTATGTGTACCTGTGAGACAGAGATAAACAGACAAATAGAATGAGGGAGAGATAATTAGATAGAATGGAGGAAGGGAAGCAGCATCCGACCCCATTGTTTTGACAGGCGGGAGGGGGAGTGAGTAATGAGACAATATGTCATTTTGACAGCTGCCGACTCCTGGTAATTTACACTATGGAGGAGGAGAAGAAGGAGAAGGAGGAAGAGTAGGGGGAAGAGGAAGAAGAGGACGAGGAAGAGTAGGGGGAAGAGGAGGAAGAGGAAGAAGAGGAGGAGGAGGGTGGAACACTAGTACACTGGTACTGGTACACTAACATTTCTGTCTATTTGTCTGTGTCAAGCTCCCTGTCTATCTGTCTATCTGTCTAGCTCTCTGTCTCAGAGAGCCACAAGACTGTGTCATCACTTTTACTCACATCTTCAAGCAGAGTATAGCACTTTGTCTGGATTTCTTGGGTTATCCTAGGTAATTTATACTATGTATACTTGTATTTATGTGTACCTGTTAGACAGAGATAGACAGATAGAAAGAGAGAGACAGATTGAAAGAGATAGAATGAGGGAGAAAGATAAACACCATTGTGTATGACACCATGTTTCAGAGTTCCACAAGCTGCAGAACTAATAGGAATATGTTCAGTGACTGTATATTGGTATATATATTATAGAACAATAATAATAAACAATGTTTTGTATTGTTTGTTTTTGTAAACAAGTTTTTTAAACAATATATTGATAATTATGTTCGTGTGCTTATTGTGTTGTATACAACGAGTGTATATATGTACATTGCACCTTACTTTGGTCTCACAGGCCACATAAGTTATGTGAAAAAATAAAATAGTGAAAAAAACAACAAACCTTCAAATACAAGTAAACTAAAGTTTACCGGGCGAGCGGCAGTCGCCCCTGTTGCCATATGCGGCTCATTTTCTGCAAACTTCATGCATCCATATCTCCATAAGTATTGATGGTAATTTTTTTTTGTTTATCCTATAATGTTTAGAAAAAAAAACTATTTTTTCATAAGAAAAAATAATTTTTTTTTTTTGAAATTTGGCCGACCCTGAGAACGAGTTTCGGAGAGGGCCTGTCGACCCTCACAGGGTTAAAAATATAAGCAAAGCAGGAGAGAACTGCTCCCTCAGCAAGGTAAGCAGTGCACCAAGTTGGCGGCGTTCATTATAATAAAAATAATTATAATTATTATTAGTGTTATTATTATTTAGTAACTGGAGCACAGATCCAATTCCCCAGATCAAGAGCCCTCACCAGCGTCAAGATTCCTTGACACTAGTGAGGGGCTCTTGATCTAGGGAATTGGATCTGTGATCCAGTTCCCTAAATTAATATAATAATAATAATAATAATATAATAATAATAACATAATAATATAATAATAATAAAATATAATAATACATAGGTAGTAGGTTGGTAGACAGCAACCGCCCAGGGAGGTATACCATCCTGCCAAGCGAGTATAAAACGAAAGCCCGTAATTGTTTTACATGATGGTAGGATTGCTGGTGCCCTTTTTTTCTGTCTCATGAACATGCAAGATTACAGGTACATCTTGTTACTTCTACTTACACTTAAGTCACACTAAAACATACATGTACAAGCACAATATATACACACACCCTCTGGGTTTTCTTCCATTTTCTTTCTAGTTCTTATTCTTGTTTATTTCCTCTTATCTCCATGGGGAAGTGGAACAGAATTATTCCTCCGTAAGCCATGCGTGTTTGTAAGAGGCGACTAAAATGCCCGGAGCAAGGGGCTAGTAACTTCTCCTGTATATATTTTCTAAATGTAAAGGGAGAAACTTTCATTTTTCCTTTTGGGCCACCCCGCCTCGGTGGGATACGGCCGGTGTGTTGAAAGAAATAATAATAATATAACACATTATATAATAATATAATAATAATGATGGAGCTTCAGTTCCCTAAATTAATAATAATAATAATATTACAAAAGCTGTAATTGTTTTACATGATGGTAGGATTGCTGGTGTCCATTTTTCTGTCTCATAAACATGCAAGGTTTCAGGTATGTCTTGCTACTTCTACTTACACTTAGGTCACACTACACATACATGTACAAGCATATATATATACACACCCCTCTGGGTTTTCTTCTATTTTCTTTCTAGTTCTTATTCTTGTTTATTTCCTCTTTTTCCATGGGAAGTGGAACAGAATTCTTCCTCCGTAAGCCATGCGTGTTGTAGGAGGCGACTAGGATGCCGGGAGCAGGGGGCTAGTGACCTCTTCTCCTGTATATATTACTAAATGTAAAAGGAGAAACTTTCGTTTTTCCTTTTGGGCCACCCCGCCTCGGTGGGATACGGCCGGTGTGTTGAAAGAAAGAATAATATTACAGTCAAGTCACTCAGTAAGTCAGTCAAATCATTCAGTAAGTCAGTCAGGTCACTCAGTAGGTCAGTCAGTCAGTCAGTTATTCAATAAGTCAGTCTCACACACACTCATGTTAACCTCTTTTCTGTGTACAAAGTAAAACTTCATTATAGCTAAAGGTTATCTCTTGTATTACAACCCAGGCACAATAAGGCCTGTTATCCTGGGTGTAAAGGGGAGCAAGGAGCAAAACAAACACAACTGAATGACTTTGAAATATATTTTCTAATATCTTTGTTTCTTTGTTAATTTTAACCCCTTGACTGTCGCAATCCCCAATCCTGAGGTGTCTCCTGGCGTCGCAAAAAAAAAAAAAATCTTACGAAATGGTAATCTTTTTCCCGATTGTAATGACACCAAAAAAAAAACGAAATTTGATGGAAAACTGATGGAATTACGCTCTCGTGAAGTTAGCGACCTCGGCGATATTTACAAATTGATGATTTCGCCCACTTTAAGCCCTATTTTCGGCTAATTCAATTGTTCCAGTCGACCAAACTCGTAGGTATTTCTTTAGAACTTCATAGGGAAGATTTCTGATACATGGGATCATCTCTGTCATCCTCCTCTGTACATTTTCCAGAGCATTTATATCCATTCTGTAATACGGTGACTAGAACTGAGCAGCATAGTCTAAATGAGGCCTAACCAAGGATATACATGTATAGAGTTAAAGAACAACCTGAGGGCTTCTATTATTTATACATGTACTTCTAGATATGACGCCAAGAATTCTGTTAGCTTTATTGCAAACACTAATGCACTGTTGTCTTGGTTTTAGATTACTGCTAACCAGAACTCCTAAATCCTTTTCAC